GGCTGGCAGAGCATCACCAGGGAAGAAACCCAGCATCTGATGATGCCTATGTGTCCAACACTTCAGGCAGTCATTGACTGTAAAGGATTTGCAACCAAGTATTAAAACTGACTGTTTAATTGATGATTATGTTAGTTTGTCCAAATACTTATGAGCCCTTAAAGTCGGGGGACTGTGTGAAGAAATGGTTGTAATTCCTACACGGTTCATACTACATTTTTGAAAAAAGCCTTAAATGAAAGCTGAGAGTCTGCACTTTAAGCACGTATTCATTGTTTCATTTAAAACCCATTGTGGTGGTGTACAGAGCCAAAATGACGACAACTGTATCATTGTCCAAATAATTATGGACCTGACTGTAAATGTTTCTTAGCCACAGTAAGAATGTAGATGTGTCATTGACACTGCTGTTGGTCTGCTCTAACGGTGGCACACATCTTTACTAATCAGTCAATCAATGTCTTTATTGTCATCGCACAGCTGTTCAACAAAATTAGGTGTCTCCAGTGGGTACATACAGGAATTTACAGACAGGCACTTCAGGGAGAGCAAAGCTGCTGTGTCCATGTGCCCCGTCATTTTACTCAACAACATGGTACCTCATGTTATCCTTGGGTTTAGTGACAATGTCAAGGACAAAGTATGCATACCGATATATATTGGCTGTGTATGTATTTTTATCATTTTGGTGGTGGGAAAACTATTGAATATACTTGGTGTAGGAGCTCTGAGATGATATGAATGCAATCACAGCTGCGACCAAATCAACATGTTTAACTCTATTTCCACGTTTTCAATTAACTACGAAGTGAAAGAATTCTGCGGTGTGGGTCCAGGTTTATAGACAATTACCCCGAACACGGACGTAATCAGTCAAACTAAGCTCCCTCAAATTTTGTTTGAAGAAGCTTGTTCTTTTAAATTAAATGTCCATCATATTTCCACACCTGGAAAATGTGTGCATGTTTGTTCTATCATTATTCACCCGCTGGGAACTCCTAATAACTCTGCAGGTCTTCTAAATCCTGGAGGAGATAAGAGTAATTTCATAGGTTAGGGGAGTTGAAAGGATGCTTTTACTGCTAAGCCCCAAAGTAGGACCATACACTGTATCCATCATGGGTTGAATTGTAGGTCAATTAGGACTGATTAGGCACTCTGAAAACTTTTATAAATACAGGGCCAGCTTCTCTGCACTCATTCTATTCCCATGACTACGAACATAATGTACCCCCTCCAACGGCCTCAGTGTACCTCATTATCCTCACTGCTGTGGGTCTCTTGAAGGAGAACTACAACCAACTCGCTGATTTATCATCTCTGCAACTACAGCGTTTTTGTTTGTGTGTTTGTTTTTCCCTTTCACTGTTTAAACACCTTATTCTGAAATGTGGCATATTCATTCATTAATTTTTATGACTGCTTATCCTGTTAGGGGTTGCAGGGGGGCTGGAGCCTATCTTTGGGCTAGAGGCAGGGTACACCCTGGACAGGTCACCAGACTATCACAGGGCTGACACATAGAGACAGACAACCATTCACAGTCACATTCACACCTACGGACAATTTAGAGTCACCAGTTAACCTGCATGTCTTTGGACTGTGGGAGGAAGCCGGAGTACCCAGAGAAAACACACACTGACACAGGGAGAACATGCAAAATCTGCACAGAAGGGCTCCCCCACCCTGGGGTTCAAACCAGAAACCCTCTTGCTGTGAGGTGACAATGCTAACCACTGCACCACTGTGCTGCAATTTGGCATAGAATGCCTGAATTGAAATTACATAAGAAGAATCACAGGTATCGCCATGTAATGACCTGGAACATGTGACACCAAGTCATGTAACTACCTGTTGCATGATGATGATGATGATGATGGTGATGATGACGATGACGATGATGATGATGATGATAATGATGAGTTTAGTTTATTTCGGAAATGTATGCAAAATGAGACAAAACAGAACAAAAGTTCGTATGTAGAATGTTACACAAAGCAAGTTGAATTACAAAATTGAAAATTGATCATTTACCATACATATTCGAAAAGGAGTGAGATGAAGCAACGTTTATTAAATCCTACCCCTTCTCCATTAATCATCAATATATCAATCATCATGTATCCTGCTTCCTTGATTACATAAACATCAATATCCAACGTAAAAAAATAAAAAAAATAGATATCTTCTTTATCCATAACATAACTTCAAAAATTCATACACTAAATATATATTTATATAGATATACATCTGTGAGTAGGTACCACTTGCATAATGTATGATATGTAATAGTAATAATCATAATAATGATAATATATTTAAGGAAAAAAAAAATATATATACACACATATACATAGGCTACACATATACACACATACATACATATACAAATATACACATACATACATACATACACACACATTTTACATATACATGTGTACGTGCAGCTACACATACATATATACATACACGCACGCACACACACACACACACACACACACACACACACAGCTATACACATACATGCATTGCATTGTTTGCAAGAGAAGAGAAAGAAAAATATAAAAATCAAATCAAAGTGTAGGTTATACACCCTCCCCCCTCATGAAAATCATATTTTTGTAATTCTTCTTGAACTGCTCCATGCTTGGACATGGCTTTAATTCATCATTTAAACTGTTCCATAGTTTTACACCACATACAGACACACAAAAACTTTTTCTGGTAGTTCTCACTTTTACATTCTTGAAATAAAATAATCCCCTTAAGTTGTATTTTCCTTCTCTGTGACTGTACATGCTCTGAATATTTCCTGGTAGCTGATTATTATTTGCTTTGAACATGATTTGTGCTGTTTGATATTCTACTTGATCCACAAATTTAATAACTTTGACTGTAAAAACAATAACTGTGTATGATCCCTATAACTAGCTGTTAATTATCCTGACTGCTTTTTTTTGTAAAATAACTAAAGATTGTAGGGAACTCCTGTAATTGTTGCCCCAGATCTCCACACAGTAGTTTAAATATGGTGAAACTAGTGAACAGTACAAAATGTGAAGTGACTGTACTTGTTGTACTTTATAGCATTTTTGCAAAATTTAAGCTTTGAACGCCCTCTCGACATTTTTTACACTAACCCTCTGTGCTTTGTTCAGAAGAGCAAAGCAGCACTTGATCTGACACAAGTGTTAAATGTGAAAACAAAGCTCGACCACAACAGTTGCCCTGCTGCCTTGGGCAAGCAGATTTGGACCGCAATCAAGTATGTGTGCAGTCTGTTTCCCCCCCATTGGTCAACCACTTTAACTATGAAAAAAAAGTACTTTCTGTAATCTGCCTGTGCCAGTGAGAGGGCTGGCTGTCACATTGATTTACTGTGATGGAAACAATGAAACAGGTGAAATGGAGTGGTATGAAAAAAAACAGAGCCAAATAATGAGGCATCAACATCAGTGAATAACCTGCGACAGGAGAGCAGACACTGAGACAGAATAACTCAAAAAGAAGCAAAGTACGTGGGAAAAAAAAAGAGAGGGCACAGAGGACAGCGGGCTTCAGAGTATGAATGCAGCAAACAGAGCCAACAACAGCATTCATTCAAGACAGACACATATGACAGGTTGTCATATCCGGCTTGCACCCCGGCAATAAGAAAGACATTACAACTTAAAAGCCTGTGAGAAGTGCATGTGTGCCATGCATGAAAGGGTTTTATTTTTCTACCTGGATATACACACCAGGACAATGGAGGCTTTGAAGGTTAGAGAAGCAGCTTGGGAGTGGAAAGTTTGATCCTTTTCCAATTTTAAATTACCATCACTGAGGTGCCCTTTAGCAGGATAAGTGACCAACAGATGAAGAAGATGGCTCTAGACACGTAAGTTTAATGCAAGGATTTAAGAATAAAGTCCAGCTTTTATTCACTTATAGAACACCATCTGGACAAATTTCTGGGTCCAAATTGAGTATTATGGAGTGTTCATGTAGCTGCCTGGGTGCTCATCTTGTCATCTATTACACACACAGCAAAAACCCAAGCAGCAAATTCACTCTTCCCCAGTAATACACAAAACCAGCAATAAGAGGAGAAAAGCCGTTGAAACTCCCGTGGGCCTTAGATTCACTTAGCAGCCGTTTCACACTCTCACTAACAGATTCCCAGTATGCAACAGAAGAGATAGACAGACAGATAGAGAGAGATGGAGAGGAAGTACTGTACTGTATGTCTGCGGGTTTTACTGTCTGACACACAGATTTGGCTTTTGTGTGGCCCTCTTCATGTTGGTTGATATCTAAGTGGTGTTCTCTGCTTTGAATGTTTTTTCAGGTGGCTGTGACAGGGGCACCCCCGGGGCAGGACCCATGAGGAGTCATAGAAGATGCTCACAGCCTGGGCGCTTCTGCTCTTCTTAGCCATGTGGGTGAGAAGCACCTCTGGTGGCCCGCTCTCCTTCAGAATAGGTAAATTTTTACAACTCCATTTCAATATTGTTCAGTCAAGTAGCAGTGGAAAACATGTTGACCCTATTGATTTAGAGACATTACAGCACTTGCATGACAGTCATGTGCTACATGCAAGAGAGGATTTTCTTTCCCATGTTAACTGAAAAATCTGTGAAGGAATGAATTTCAAATTTTAATTATTGAGTTTGAGCTTAAGTCAAATTGCTGTTGAAATGTTAGATGCCAGTCCAACTTCACAGTTTCTAATTGAAAAATTGGCTAAAGAAATTCAATCAAAAGTAAGATACACATTTATTCCCAGTCACACATGGCGTGAGGTATCAACTGGCTAAAAACTTAATGTGTGGATATACCACGGCCCTAATTGACTCTGAAATACACTAGACCCAGCTTTTACATAAAAAAAAAATCGCATTTTTTCTGTGCAGTGTTGCAGACAGAAATTCATAGAGTAGCTGTGTAGAGAAGAGTTTAAGCATATTAGGCTATACCACAATACAACATAGACATCCACAGCACCAAGTCTAACCACATTGCTAACCTGACCTTTGTTAAACCTTAAACCTAGCCTTAACAGTTGCTTTATCCCTGATGTTAATGTAAATGTAAAGGCTGTGTTTCCCACTGCTAAACTCAGTAAACATTCACTGACACATTATAGCATATATTAGGGGTGGGGTCACCAACAGACTCACGATATGAGACAGCAGTGTGTCCAGTGTTGGTTGATTTTTCGGTGGAGTGGGTTTAGCCTTAGCTTGGCTGTCAGTGGCTTACGCTATCTCTGGATGGTGGCATGTGAGGTGAGCCGTCATGTCCGTAGTATTCCCAGAGTATTCTCATAAAACACCGCTTGCAAATCACGTGTGTTATATCCAAGTCCGTCTTTATTTTCGTGTTAAAAAATCTGATCCGATGCCTCCATCTTTGCGTTGATGAACTTCCTGCCAAATGCTGCTGACTAAGACCTCTGCTGAACTCATCAGCATCATCTAGTGGACCGAAAAAGCAATTGATTTTATATTCTAGAACTAAAAGTTGTATTAAAATGTGTATTTGCAAAAATGAATTATGTTTTTAATAAAAGATATCAATATACAATATATATGTATATATATATAGATAGAGAGAGAGAGAGAGAGAGACAATATCCCCCCCCCCCCCTTGTTAGCTAAGCATCACCATTTTAAATAGTAAATAGATAAGTATAAACATATATGTGATTAGTACCATTCCTGCCTAAATCAATGTCGTTGTTATGCATGCAGCTTGAGACAATAGCACAAAGTCTGGTGGACACCACCGTGTTAGTCTGCTTCTGGAAACTGTGGCAGATTGGTGGACCACGGTTGAGACTGACTAGACATTGCATCTGAGAGGGCATGGTTCAAAAGTCTCATAACCTGCCAGAGCCTGTTGGTAACCAACAGGAGTGGTCCCCTCTTGTTAATATTCTCCTACAGTCAGCAGGTCTCTGACACCCTGTCACTAGCTCCCCATCTACCAAAAGTTTGACTGACTGTCTCTTTATTTATGTATAGATCCCCTGTCCTATGGAAACTGTGTGTGTGTATATACAGTATCCATACTGTATATATAGGAACAAATGGGAAGTAGAGGTAAAGCTAAAGACTGAGAATGAGATTGATTCTCCAGCTCACAGGCTGTGCTCCCATCGTTTTCTCTCAGTGGCTCTCTTTAAATTTATAGCATGGTTGTCAACTTTCAGGAACAGCTGAGAGTGTGATTTGTTGTCAGGGGAGAGGGGTGAAAGTTAACACAAAATCAGTATACAGACCCCCATGCGGTTATTATAAGGCTATTAAAACATCAAGTAAACTCAAACGGAGCATTAAGAATGTGTTCTTGAGACTGAAGAGAAGTGCACTTTTAGAAAAATAAAGAATCAAGGTATTGAAAACAAAAGTTTGCCTGTGTGGAAAATAGTCTTTTCTGGTGCTATGAATTCAGTCCTCAATATGATAAAGCTGCAGTGCAGTGCACTCGTTTCTGGAGCAATGAGTTTCAGTAATGATGAAAACATTATCTAGTTTTCTCGGTCGTACAGGCTCATAAATGCATATTGGAACTTTAATGCAGCCTCTTTCTGATCTTTCCCTCCTCCCTTTACATCTGTTATTGTGTGAGAGGAGTAAGTCTTTTTATCCTTCCAGTATTTTGAGCCTTGCCAAAATGGAGTCAGAACAACTGTCATCTTTGAACAGTAGCAACATTCCTTATTTTGTGAACATGTTTTGTATCAGTCACTAGTTTTTCTCTCCTGCCTGCTCCATGTATCACAGCTCTGCCACAGCACAGCGAAGGTTTGCAAAACCTTTTTGGTGGTTTTGCATACGTTGCCCCAAACCATTTTCTGTATTTTGAAAGCAACGCTGCTTCAAAGTTTACTGTATCAACAAGACCAAGAACAAATCGTTCCCTGTTTGTGAATATTGTTAGATAAATGATGAGCAGCCCCATGTCTCTGCTTTCTCCCTGCGTTCTCTTCCACCCTCCACCTGATTGTACAAAAGCACCTCCGCAGCGATGGTGGTTTATGTTTATCTCAGTCATGTTGCATTGTTGATGGGTAATTAGGCAGTTGGCCTGTTTTTCCTTTTCTTCTAATGTCATCTGTGCACAGCACCAGTCTCTTTGCCAGTGCACTGTCAGTATGTGTTTGTGTGTGCTCTATCTAGGTGTGTGTATGTGTATATATTTATGCACAAGGCAGTACGAGGCATGCACATGCACAAGCACAAACACACACACACACACACACACACACACACACAGCAACGCACAAATTTCAAAGTGCACTAAGGCACGCAAACAAACACATACCCCCAAACGCCACCACAAACTCCCTGCCATTTGCGCTCCAGGAGATGGTATTTAACATGGCTGTCCCTCGAGTCCTGCCTGGTTGGCATAATGTCACTGTCTGGCCTTCTCTGAATGTATCAGGGCCAAAAACAACCTCCCACCCCCGCCACATTCCCCGCCAGGACCAGCCAGCAGCCAGCAGCAAGCCCAGTGTAGGTGAACTGAGGAACTTATCGTTGTCTCTGCTGTGTTGTTGGCAAATCCAGGGATAAAATGGACTTTCGTTTGCAAATTAGTTGGCATGTATAGTAGGTCTACATGCCCTCTGATAGACCCTCTGATTGGTCGGATAGCAACATAAAACATGCCTTTCATTCATTTCACCTTTTTACTGTTGTGTTGCAGCAGTGGAACCCTATATAACTTGCAGTGTTGTTGGAGGCTGTTGCAGAGTAATGAAAGATTAATTATAGCGATATTGACCTGTGAGAGTATAAATAATTGAATTTGCTTCAGTATGGCTTCTAATAAGAAAGAAACACAGACAAGTGAAGCTTTAACTAATCATGAATAGCATAATTTAATAGTCTAGATCAAAGAGATAAAATATTAAAGACGGTGTATAAGGTAAAATCAATTCACAAAGTGCTATCATGAAAGAAGATTCTGTTGAAAAGACCTCTTATTGATTCAGACATGGGACTACATGAGTAAAACAGTTAAACAAGAAGAGATACTGCATAATATTACATGAAAGTCTCTGCTCACTACCATATGGTGCAGCTTGTTGCTGTGGGTGGTATTCCCCCATTAGTTAAGTGACAGAGTGTCTGCCGTCGAAATTCATCCAGCCAATAAGCCTCTGCTTATGCTAACTTGGAGAAATTATCTTCCACACACACACACCACTACTGTGACCTTATGTCTGTTTGTGTCAATACAAGGAGAGAACCTCTAGGAAGACATTCATGAGAGCCACATGGTCCTTCATTAGAGCTACATCCATCAACACTGCCAACTTTGCCTCACACTGCAGAGCCCTCACTACACACACACACACACACCCACACATACTGCCTCTGTCCAGTTCAGTATCAGAATAAAAAAGCCAATTATCTGATATCCGTAAATCAAAGGCAGTAGGAGGTTTCACACGAGATGGATTGCTTTTCCATTTTGTAACCCCTGTTGAAATGTTCTTAATAAGAAAAGTAGTAGGAGCAGAACAAAATGGTGTGAAGTGATCACTAAGGATTTAAAAAGGTTCATCATTTCCTTCGCATGATCAAGTAATTAATATTAAGGGATTCCAAGTAATGCCTCATTTCTACTGCAAGGAGCAACACAGCTTGACTTGACTCAGCTAGACTCACTTGGAACTGTTCTTTTTTCGTTCTCCATTAGCAAAGGTTGTGGATAGTACGTGGTATCTGGCACTGTTTTGGTGCCACCTTCGTCAAGGTTCCAAGTGAGCTGAGCCGATTCTAGAAGGTGCAGTTAAAAGACTGCAGATCACTGATTGGTCAGAGACAACTGTCACTAGTGTGCAGTGTTGGGCAGTAGCATCACTACAGGTAGCAACATTACGGATTTAACAGCATGTCTCAGTAGCATGGTGGTAACATCACTACTTTCTGAGTCAAATAGCTTCAGTTAATTAATTGACTGGGTAGCGTGGGTGCCTTCAAAAAAGTTAGAAGTGTAGCAGACTTTTTTTTCTGCATAGGTCTGGATAAAAGTAAGGATAGTAATGGTAAGGGTTAAGTAATGTGACTAACACCAGTGCCACATGGAGGCATGTAGACAATGGAAGCACTTTCACATGACATCACATACCAATCCTTCAGTTGGCTACATTGCACTTCTTGACGCATCTCTCTCGTGTTTTGTCCATGGATTGTATATATTTAGTGGATTTGCAATGGACACGTGAGAAATAGACACAACAAGGGCCAAGAAAAGAGACAGAGAACAAGTAGGAAGAGAGGACATGTCCATATTCTAATGTCCCCTCAAAAAAAGACAAGTTTTCATTTAAGTGTGTTATTTTTATTGTTTATACTACTGTATTTTATTTTTTATGGTTTTATTGACCGAAAAAAATATTTTGGAATCCATACTTTTCCATTATTTTTATATGACATTTTTGAATTACTGACAGAGCCAGAGAG